TGCGACACCCTGCATAGCAAATTAATATATTATCAGACAGCCGCAGAGAAGCTGTCCATCTGACGTACGCTTCCAGTGCTCGAACAGGGCAGAGAGGCTCGTCAGCACCATCTGCATCGAAGCGAGCAAGCTGGAGAGGCAGAGAGTGGGTTGCAGATGAGGCCACTGTAGGGAGGAATGCTATGTTAGGCCAGAGTGTAACACCCAAACCAGCTGGGTTCCAACGGCAACAGTGCTCGTGAACAGACAGCACATGTAGTTCACCTATTCGTTTGGCCAAAGTCATGGCCAAGAGAAACGCGGTCTTCTTAGACAAGCACTCAAGGCTCACGTCCGCCAAGGGCTCAAACGGAACAGACCGCAGGGCAGTGAAGACCAGAGAGAGGTACCACACAGGCACGACGAGGCGTGTGGGGAGGTGCAGATGTCGGGCGCCTCTCAGAAACAAGGACACATCCTTGTTACGACTTACTGTCTCCCCACCCACCATTGTATGCCAGCAAGAGATGGCAGCAACATAAACATTCATGGTGGATTGAGACCGGCCCTGAGAAAGTAGTGCCTGAAGGAAAGTAAGAATAACAGAAAGAGGACAGTGTACAGGGTCCTCGTGTCTGGCACGACACCAGTTGCTGAAAACCTTCCACTTATGTGTATACACCGGTCATGTGGAAGGGGCCCTGGCATTATTCATTGTATGTGCGACCTCCCTGTCACACTCTGAGAAGGTAATGCCGGGCCCTGTAGCGGCCAAGCCCAGAGCCAGAGGCGACTGGGATCGGGGTTCAGGATATGACCCCCAAACTGTGACAGGAAGTCCTTCCTGTGGTGTAGAGGCATTGGAGAGCTGCAACAGAGCCTGTGCAGCAGTGGAAACCAAGTTCTCCTGGGCCAGAGGGGAGCCACTAGGAGGACTTGATGCCCCTCTTGAAGAACTCTCAGGAGTGTTGGGCCTGTCAGGGGAAGCGGCGGAAAAGCATACAGCAGCACCCTTGGCCAGTCGTGTGCCAGTGCATCCTGACCCAGGGAACTGGCACTGCCTGCCAGAGAGAGCCAAAGCAGGCAGTGTGTCATCTCTTGAGATGCAAACAGGTCCACAGCTGCCTTGCCGTACCACTCCCAAATTACCCTCACCACCTCCGGATGGAGCCTCCACTCCCCAGGTGGTGGGCGTTCCCAAGACTGAAAATCGGCCAGCCTATTTCGCACTCCTGGAATGTGGGCTGCCCTCAGGCTGGCAAAGAGGGGGGCTGCCCAAAGTGGAGACCACGTTCCTTGGGCATTCTGTCACTGCCACGATGCTCCCAAACCTGTGGTGGATGCATTGGTACAAACAACCTCCCTCCGAGATGGCAGAGAGCCCAGTGGGACCCCCTTCACCATAAACATTGCATCTCACCCCTAAGCCAGTGATGCGAGGCATTGAGGGGACACTAGCAACCTCCTGCGTCGGTGCACTGCACGAGTCGGATCCAGCCGCAGCCTGTTTAGCCACATCTGTAGAGGGCGCAGAGACAAGAGCCAGCTTGTCTAACAGGTGAAGGTACGCAATGAAGGGGGGTGCACAGCCAAGCAGGAAGGCGGGCAGCATCTGCAGAATCCCGCTGACACGCTGTGGAGACGGGCAAGCCACCATGGTGAGGGAGTTCATCGTAGTTCCCAGGAACGTGACCTCCTGAGAGGGAATTAAGTTGCTCTTCTGCCAGTTCACATGAAGACCCAATAGGTCTATGTGATCGAGCACCATCTGTGTGTCCGCAGCTGCCTGAGCTTGTGTTGGTGCACAGATCAGCCAATCATCCAAGTAGGGCAGGATCTTCAACCCCTTGACCTGCAGAGGGTACAGGGCTGCTGCCACACACCAGGTGAACACACAGGAGGACAGAGAAAGACCGAATGGAAGAACTCTGAATTGAAAATGCTTGCCCTGAAATGCAAAGCGGAGAACCTGCCAATGGTGCTGCGCAATCGGTACATGAAAGTATGCATCCTTCAAGTTGACCAAGGTGAACCAGTCGCCTGGAGAGACTACCTGGAGCGCATCTATAACAACACATCTATCAACATGTGGAAAGGAATAGTTTTTAAAAACACATTCAGACCTCTCAGCTCCAAAATTGGCCGTAGTCCACCAGTCTTTTTTGGGACTAAAAAATACTTAGAGTAAAAGTCCCCTGGATCCCGCAGGAGGTCGACAGGCACTATAGAAGACTTGGCCAGCAAGGTGTCTATTTTGTGGTTCAGTGCCTGAGCTTTCACCTGGTCGCGAATGACCGTCATTCTGACCTGACCAGGAACGGGAAGGCGGCAGAACTGTAGAGATAGTGTTGACACAACCCACAAATCGGGCACAAGAGTGGCCCAGCGGTTGAGCTGAAATGGGGTAAAGTGTCCCACCACCTGCTTCCAAATGTCATTTCCAAGCTCCCCTGCCTTTAGGATAGTGGGAGGGATGCCAGGAGGGCTGCCCTCGTTGAAGAGGGGTGGGAGCCTGACCTCTGGGCAGAGCCCATTGGCTATGAGCTGGCCCTGCAGCAGGCTGCTGCTGTCCCACGGAGGGTGTAGGTGAGGCCAGATAAGTGCGTGAGGAGGACGCAGAGGCACCTCTAGCAGGACGCCGAGTGTCTACAATGAAGGCCGGACAATTGCTGTCTTGTACGGGTGGCCTAGGCTGAACGTTCCAAGGCTGCAAGTGCAGCAGAACCAAACAGCTCCCCAGGAACCACAGGAAGACTCATCAGGGTCCTTCTACAGGGTTTAGTCAGGGGAGACTGCGCCAGCCAAACCTGGCAACGTGGCTGGACGAGGGTAGATAACACATGGCCAATCTCCCTTGAAAAAAGAGCAAAGGCATGAAGGGAAGCGTCCATCAGGCTTGAGTAGGCGCATCAACCGCCAAGCCCTCCAAGGAGGTCGAGAGGCCCAGTAACAAATGCAACTGCGAGTTACCCAGTTGCCCCAATCGAGACCCAGAGTCATAAGCTCTACAGAGCAGGTCATCTGTGACCCGACACTGAGGACGAGGGCACCTGGCATTAGCCCTCAAAGCATCATCCGTAGCCACAATGAGGGACGCTATGGCAGGTTAGACAGAAGGCATATGGCCCAAGCCAAACTTGGGCGCATCCTGCATGGCCGCCAGGGTCCTGCCATCTGCGGTCAGTAGCGAGAAAGCCTTAGTATCCATCCAGCAGGCATGTACCTCCTTTATGTATTCAGCCGAAGGGGGAACCATAAAGGACGACCTAGCAGAAGGACGTTTAAAGAAAGTGCTGGAAGCAGCGGGTTGGCTCTGTGGAACATCCAGGTGCAACCGAGCAAGAACAGTTCTCAAAGCACCCACTATGGAACCGTCCTCCTCTGGCTGAGAACAGGAGGAGGTGTGCGAACTGGCAGTCAACACACACGAGCCAGACTCAAACTGCTCTTGAAAATCAGTTCTGAATGCTGCCAGGGAGATAGCATCCTCTTCAAAAGCAGAGGCCCCTGAGCCCATGTTCTGTCCCAGGTCAGGGTCCCAAGTCAGACCTACGTTGCCCCCTTCCCTCGCAGAGGCCCCTGAGCCCATGCTCTGTCCCAGGTCAGGGTCCC